TGTATCTTAACCACCCCCCCCCCCTGGCCCTTTTTTTTTTTTTTTTTTTACTTTTTAATAAAATACATACATTTAAAAAGGTGCAGAAATATAGTATACAGATAAGTGTATTTTCATAAAGAAACAAATTTATGAAACCCCATCTAATCTAATGCACCAAATATATATTGCAAATATGTGAATATATGTACACATGTATATTTCATCTAGATTATTCACATACTAATCATTGATTGTAAATACTGAGGGTATTTTATTCATAACATTTATGAAGATTGAGATTTAATAGGATATATAATAGGGTTTCACTTAACTTTCAGGGGATGGTGACTTCTAAAATAAATTACTATGGTTGTTTTGATCTTTAGTATATTTTAAATAACCTACTTAACGTGATTGTTTTGAAATATAGGAGAAGTGAGATCCCAGAGTTTGGGGTAGAAGAAAGCAAAGTGTATCTAGTACTTTATCCATCTCACGCATGAACGCAACGTTTAGATTTTGTTTTTCAGCTTGACTGAGGCCATTAATTGTTTGTGGGTTTTTTTAAATTGTTGTTTGTTTTTGTTTTGTAAATGTGTATTTGTTAAAAGAAAGATCATTTTTAAAACGAGAAAAAAAAACTGCACACCTAACAGACATCTAATGGTGTTGCAGTATTGCAAATAATGTAAGGAAGGAACTAATTTTAAAGAAACAAATTTTCTTAAATTAAATACCGTGACTAAGTACTTTAATTCTCTTTCTTTGAACCCTAAAGGATCATTTGACATTGAACCTTTTTAATTAAAGGGAGCATTCTGAAAGCCTCAACTCCGTGGCTCTGAGGGGTGCGGGGCTTCCAGCCCGGCCTCCCCTAGCCCCCTGCCTGGTCGCCCTCCCCACGGCCCCCCTGCTCCCTCCCTATCGCCCTCGCCCCCCTCTTTCCTCCGCGTGACCCCTGACCCCAGCTAATCTGCATAGAGGAATGACAGGCATCCGCTGGGCTGGATCCGCCGCGCCGGCTGCGGCCGGCCGGGCTGGAGACCCGCGCGGGGGAGAAGGTGAGGGAACCGGGCGGGCAGCTCGGCGCAGCGGGGAGATGAACGCTTGGACGTCTGTCTGCGAGCGGACCCATGATCAAAGGACCGAGAGAGCCTCGTGATCGCCGGACCTGGCCCCGCGACCCCAGCCATGGGCCAGACCTCGGTCTCCACACTGTCCCCGCAGTCGGGCAGCGGTGAGTCCGGGGCGCAGGCGATGCGCTGCTGCAGCGCGGGCGCGGGGCTGGCGCGGGCCCCGGGGACTGGCGAGGGCTCCGAGCTCTTCGGATTGCGCTCGGACCCGCCAAGTCCCCGGGAGAAACCCCAGGGGTAGCGCTAGCCAAACTCTTTGTCGTGGAAAAGTGGAATGCCTTTTGGGATCCAGCCGCTGTTACCTTAAAGGCACAGGCTCCATTTTCTGTGCGAGATGCCTCGGCTTTGGTTTTTCTCCAAATTAGTTCTGTGCCAGAAACTTACGAGAAGCGCCATTTGCGTCTTTTAGTGTTTTTAAAAACGCGAAACTTAGAGAGCAAGAGAAACATGCCAGTGAGTTTTTCTGTATTTACGCTTGGCTTCCGAACAGAGTAGAACCGAGTTCTTTCAAGCTTGTCAACTGATTTATGGTTTGTTATTCGGAGTAGAAGTGCTGAGTGCCCTCTCTTATCCTGGCAGGACTCTGAATACTTAATAGCTACCCCCAAATGTGTAGTTGTTTCAATGATACTTAACAGTGTTTAGGATAGACACCTCAACTATACAATCTGGGAAGCATCTCTTGCTCTTAGTTCTTAAGGGCTGAAGTCCGTTCTATAGAAATGTGTGTAACGTTTCTGAATTACAATGCCCTGTTTAAAAAGTTTCTTTTTTTCCCCCATTTTCTTAAAAAAATAAAGGTCGGTCAGGCAGTTTCCCAGCAGTATAGGGCTAAGCCGTTGTTTGGTGGTGGTCCGCTTGGATCATGAGTACATTTTAAAGGTACTATTTTGATATGTTTCCATCCACGATTAAAAGAAAAAAAAAAAAAAAAACCTCAAAGGACTATGTACGTTATTCTTTGAGGTATTTGATAACACTTTTTAAATTGTGCAAACATGCCCAGGATCTTGCCCAAAGGAAATGACAGGGCACAGAGGAAGGTTCTTTAATGTGTTCCAGGATGTCTGACTAGATAGCACCCTTCCTCCACTCCCACCTCAGCCCCCCCAGGGGATTTGTTTCCCTCCCTAGCCTCAGCCCCTGAAATATCATAAGCTGTGTTGAGGCTTAATTAATGCCACAGGAGAATGAGCCCTCTGCAAAGAAGAGAAATCAGAATCAAAAAAAAAAAGAAAGAAAGAAAAGAAAGAAACCTTCTCCTACTGTTAATGACGTAGTTACAGTGCTCTAACATCACAAAGGCTTTATGTTGGTAGCTTTTGAGGGTTTTGGCCAGGGTGTTGAATCGGATCTTAAATTTAGCCAGCTATTTTGTGCAAATCAGCCCTGTTTTCCTTTGTGGTGCCTTAAACTGTGGCTTCTTTCATTTCGAGGAAGAGTTATATTTCTAACTTCTGCCCTGGTGAATATAAAATTAAATCAGTACTCCAATACAATAGGCGTGCGGAAAGTATTGTCTTAAATTTGGTTGGTCACAACCATTATTAGAGTGACTATTATAAAGCAAATGTTGCCTTCATAAAAATCAAGGCATAGTATATTAATTATGTCTAAGAAGTAACTAGAATCCTAAGCCTCTTATGCAGTGCAGCAAAAAAATACCCAGATTGCTATAATTCCTAGTAAAATCGCTAATCATGTTGAGAACTTGTGCAGGTTATTTAAAGAAACAGTGATTTGAACAAACAGTTATGATTGATCCTGAAAGATATTTCAGAGAATTATCTCAGGGAATGTGATGTTATACTCAAATTGTAGGTTTTATAAAAGTTCTGTAAACTGAAATAGCCTATCCATACATCGTTAGAGGGATTTTTGCTCTCGTTATGTCACTTCAGGGATGATAGTAGTTGGGATTGTACAAAGTGGAGTAATTTTCTCATGGTATCCACTGAAGATCTCTTATGTCTGATAATTAGTTACTGCATTACCCACAAGTTTTGCCACCAGATTTCTATATAAAGGAAAACAAAAATAAAAACAAAATACCACTTGGCCCGTTTTATATTTATGCAGGTGTACTTCTCTGAGTCTGGGAATGTCAGCCCCTTTGCTCTTCCAAGTATTTTGTTCACTCCTTGTTAGCTGTAAACTCCGGCTTTACAGATGGTGTGAAGATCTTTGCTCTGTTTGATCTCAGCCATCTCCTCCTTGCTGGGATCCAGCCGCTGTTACCTTAAAGGCACAGGCTCCATTTTCTGTGCGAGATGCCTCGGCTTTGGTTTTTCTCCAAATTAGTTCTGTGCCAGAAACTTACGAGAAGCGCCATTTGCGTCTTTTAGTGTTTTTAAAAACGCGAAACTTAGAGAGCAAGAGAAACATGCCAGTGAGTTTTTCTGTATTTACGCTTGGCTTCCGAACAGAGGAGAACCGAGTTCTTTCAAGCTTGTCAACTGATTTATGGTTTGTTATTCGGAGTAGAAGTGCTGAGTGCCCTCTCTTATCCTGGCAGGACTCTGAATACTTAATAGCTACCCCCAAATGTGTAGTTGTTTCAATGATACTTAACAGTGTTTAGGATAGACACCTCAACTATACAATCTGGGAAGCATCTCTTGCTCTTAGTTCTTAAGGGCTGAAGTCCGTTCTATAGAAATGTGTGTAACGTTTCTGAATTACAATGCCCTGTTTAAAAAGTTTCTTTTTTTTCCCCCATTTTCTTAAAAAAATAAAGGTCGGTCAGGCAGTTTCCCAGCAGTATAGGGCTAAGCCGTTGTTTGGTGGTGGTCCGCTTGGATCATGAGTACATTTTAAAGGTACTATTTTGATATGTTTCCATCCACTTAAAAGAAAAAAAAAAAACAAACCTCAAAGGACTATGTACGTTATTCTTTGAGGTATTTGATAACACTTTTTAAATTGTGCAAACATGCCCAGGATCTTGCCCAAAGGAAATGACAGGGCACAGAGGAAGGTTCTTTAATGTGTTCCAGGATGTCTGACTAGATAGCACCCTTCCTCCACTCCCACCTCAGCCCCCCCAGGGGATTTGTTTCCCTCCCTAGCCTCAGCCCCTGAAATATCATAAGCTGTGTTGAGGCTTAATTAATGCCACAGGAGAATGAGCCCTCTGCAAAGAAGAGAAATCAGAATCAAAAAAAAGAAAGAAAGAAAGGAAAGAAACCTTCTCCTACTGTTAATGACGTAGTTACAGTGCTCTAACATCACAAAGGCTTTATGTTGGTAGCTTTTGAGGGTTTTGGCCAGGGTGTTGAATCGGATCTTAAATTTAGCCAGCTATTTTGTGCAAATCAGCCCTGTTTTCCTTTGTGGTGCCTTAAACTGTGGCTTCTTTCATTTCGAGGAAGAGTTATATTTCTAACTTCTGCCCTGGTGAATATAAAATTAAATCAGTACTCCAATACAATAGGCGTGCGGAAAGTATTGTCTTAAATTTGGTTGGTCACAACCATTATTAGAGTGACTATTATAAAGCAAATGTTGCCTTCATAAAAATCAAGGCATAGTATATTAATTATGTCTAAGAAGTAACTAGAATCCTAAGCCTCTTATGCAGTGCAGCAAAAAAATACCCAGATTGCTATAATTCCTAGTAAAATCGCTAATCATGTTGAGAACTTGTGCAGGTTATTTAAAGAAACAGTGATTTGAACAAACAGTTATGATTGATCCTGAAAGATATTTCAGAGAATTATCTCAGGGAATGTGATGTTATACTCAAATTGTAGGTTTTATAAAAGTTCTGTAAACTGAAATAGCCTATCCATACATCGTTAGAGGGATTTTTGCTCTCGTTATGTCACTTCAGGGATGATAGTAGTTGGGATTGTACAAAGTGGAGTAATTTTCTCATGGTATCCACTGAAGATCTCTTATGTCTGATAATTAGTTACTGCATTACCCACAAGTTTTGCCACCAGATTTCTATATAAAGGAAAACAAAAATAAAAACAAAATACCACTTGGCCCGTTTTATATTTATGCAGGTGTACTTCTCTGAGTCTGGGAATGTCAGCCCCTTTGCTCTTCCAAGTATTTTGTTCACTCCTTGTTAGCTGTAAACTCCGGCTTTACAGATGGTGTGAAGATCTTTGCTCTGTTTGATCTCAGCCATCTCCTCCTTGCTTAAGTCTGGAGCAGCTGCTAGGGATTACAGTGTTAAAGATGATTCTCATCTTAAATGCTTAATGGGGGGAAATCTGTTTGTGTCTAAGGGATCAATGGCACAGAGTTTAATAGTTCATACTTATTACTCTACCTGAGATTTTTGTAAAAGTCTTCATTACAGGCCAGAGGTAGCTGGCTTCTCCCAGTTTTGACTTCAGCTTCTCTTGAACTTTCCATGTGAAGGCTACACTTATTTCTCTGGGTGCTAGGAGGACTGTTAAAAATTATTTTTAAAAATATACAGTTAGACCCATTTTTTTAGAGTTTTCTGTTTTTGTTTTTGTCTTTTTGTTATACGGTGTGTGCACTCGTGGGAGAGACAGAGAAAGAGAGACTGAAAGTGAGAAATCATCCCCTTGGTGGATGATCATGCCACAATTTCTTCTCCTCCATTCTCCTTTCAGGATCTTAGGCACACATGCACACATGCCCAGCATAAGTTTTAAAATGCCAGGTCCCAGACTCGAACCGTATTCCACTATGAGGGAGTCCAGGGACGTAACCATTACATCATCTGCTGATCCCCATTATTTCTATTTTAAAAAATCACTTTATTGACATGTAATTCACATACCATAAAATGCACTGTTCAGAGTATACAACTCATTGTTTTTTAGCATATGTATTCATATGTATTCACAGTATGACATAACCATCAATCCCTGCTCCCACCCTGTTTAGCTATCTACCCCTTTAACCCCCAGTTAAACAACAGCTCTGTCTCTACAGATTTATTTATTTGGAACGTTTCCTGTAAATGGGATCATATAACATATTTTGTGACTGGCTTCTTTCAGTTAGCATAATATGTTCAAGGATTACTCATGCTATAATACATATCATTACTTCATTTCTTTTTATTGCCAGATACTATCTCACTGTATGAATATACCATATTTTATTTATCCATTCA